ATACAGGAATCAGCTGAGAAAAAAGAAAAACAGGTCGGAATTTTTTGTGATTTAACTAAAGCGTATGATGCCATAAATCATGACACCTTACTTTCTAAATTACAAACATATGGAGTTAGAGGTGTGGCAAACTTATGGTTTAACTCATATTTGCCGTACCAGAAGCAAGTTGTTGAAATAAGTTGTGATGGCAAAAAATATACATCGGCTCCAACAGAAATTAAATATGGAGTACCACAGGGTTCAGTGCTTGGACCATTATTATTTTTATTATACATAAATGATCTGCCTTTGAATATCAAAGAGGCGAGGATAGTTTTGTTTGCAGATGATATAAATATTTTGGTAACAGCTGAAAAGGAACATATCCTGCAGCAAAAGATAAATAAAGTCATGAACGAGTTATATGGATGGTTCAATGCAAATAATCTTATACTGAATGCTGAGAAAACAATAGCAATGACATTTCATAATAGACAAGAAAGAGATTTGATGAAACCTCAAATCAAATTTGGCAAACTGGAGATCTCCTATAAATGTGAAACGAAATTTCTAGGTATATACATGTATGTTGGCGAGCATATGGAGTGGAAAGCACATATGATGTTCTTAAGCTCGAAACTTCATAAAGTCTGTTACATGATAAAATCCCTTAGGGATGTAACAAGCCGACAGGTTATAAGGAGTATTTACTTTGCTCACTTCCATGCTTATTTGAAGTATGGTTTAATTTTCTGGAGTAGTAACCCAAAAAGTAAAATTATATTTAAATTGCAGAAACGAATTTTTAGAATAATTAGTGGTGTCAGTAGATTAGCATCATGTAGACAACTTTTTAAGAATTTAAACTTACTTCCACTACCTTGTATGTATATATTTGGAATAGTATGCCATGTTAAACTACATTTAGAAAAGTAAGAACAAAATAACTTAGTTCATAATCACAATACATGCCAGAAGTTAAATCTCCATGCTCAGTTTTGCAGAACAAATGCCTATAAGAAAGGAGTACTGAACATGGGAATAAAATTATACAATAAAATACCAAATAAAATTAGGGAGATAGAAAAAATGAGACAGTTTAAAAAAGTAATGAGGTCATATTTGGTACAACATACGTTTTATTCTGTAGAGGAATATATTGTAACGTGTTTCATTACTGAAGACGCCGTTCGGATTGTTAATTGGTTTATTTAACAACCTACAAGTCTCAGCTACAATTAATTACAACACTGTTGCAGGGTTTCACACTTTATAACCCTGTTCGCAATAATCTCTTCACTCTGTTGCGGGGTTTCACACTTTATAACCCTATTCACAATAATCTGTTCACTCTATCTTCAGTAGTCTACACGTATTCACAGTACGGGAACTATGTATGTGTCCCTGTATCACACACTCCCAATTACACAATTACACACACGTCCAGTTCTTCTTTCCACGACTGCTGCTATACTCCAACTAACTCCGTGGCTACTGCCTTGAGAACTCACTTCGGCGACTGATCCTCTTAACTCGTTCACTGAGGCCGCTACACATTAACTAACTCTGGTGACGGCCACATTTCAACTCACCTCGCAGGCAGTGCAATTCCCTTATATAGTCGCAGCGCTTGCCTGTTATGTAATCGGTACCGCTGTTGCCTAATGCCATGTCGACAGCAGCATGGCGTGTTACGTCACAGTGCGGAGGGGGGGGATGGAGCGCTGACTCACCCGCCACATCACTGCTGGGTAGGGAGGGGATGTCCTCCATTGCGCAACATGTCACAATATGTTAAATTAAAGATGGTATGTTTGTGAAAGGGGGGGTGTTTATTTTTAATTATAGAAATTGAACTATTGTATGTTTAGTGTGTATGGAACGTTTTCCTATGACAGCGATTTGATGAGGAAGGAAGAATGGATTGGTTGATTGATTGATGTGAAATGGTTTGAATTGGTTACTCTGTTGGGGAATTTATGTTGTCTTAAATTTTGAATATAGTTTTATATGGTATGTTGGACATGTACACAATCTGTGTATGTAGTTAAATATTATAGTATTGTTGACTTTTATACAAATAATTTGACTTGTTCTATATCTGGAGGCTGTATTGCAAAATGTGAATTTCTGGAACCAATAAAAATATGAATATGAACTGAGGAAAAACTATCTTTGATGTACATATTTTACAGGCATATAACTACCATATAAATGATTTGCACCTATGTTTTTTTATGTACATGTTTTACAGGAATATAACTACCATATAAATGAGTTGCACCTATGTATTTTAATTGGTCAGTAAAGCTGTAATTTGTTATGCTGTCCATGTAAGTTGCTTAATACTTTACTAACCTGAATATAAGGCAATTCTCATACTCAGAAATTAAATTAATGAGAAAACTTTATTCTCTGTTCTATTGCTGGGTCAGAATTTTCCCATCACCATTTAGTGTAGTTCTGAAATAACATACCTGATTTGACTGCCTACACTACCTTGTATTATGTTTTGCAATATTACCTACACTGAAACTACTGCATACTTCATGTTACTTGTGTTGTAATTGGTTACCTAGTGAAGTAATTTGTGATCTGTGATCCTTATCTTGTATTCGGGTAAGTGTGGTGGATCAACTTATTCTTGTTTTATTATTTAAGAATGTAGATTATGAGAATTAATTTGAAGTTTTGATGTTACAGTTGAGAGGCTGCAGCATAGAGCTGAACTGTATGGGTCTGCACTAAAACAGTACTTAGATTCCAATCAGTCTTACACAGTTATAGCAGTGGAATCAGCAGTAATCAACAGATCATCAAATGATGTAAAAACAAAAACATTCAGGCTTGTCTGCTATTATACACTTCCCAGCAATGGCACTGGAGGTGATCTCATGCCTGAGGAGATTGACCCATCCTTGTGTACCCATATCAATATAGCATTTGCTCGCATAACAAATGGCTCTTTGCAGCCTGTTAATTCGACAGTTATGGGACTTTACAATCGTGTCAGTGCCCTCAAGTCTCGTAACCCGTCCCTCAAAGTTTTACTGACCATTGGAGGAAGTTCAGAGCCAGGAAGTTTCGGCACCGTGAGTGCAACTCATGCCTCCAGAAAGCTGTGAGTCTCTTAGTTTTCTTTGTTACATACATACATCTGCATTTCAAGATATTCATAAGTGCAGTCTGCACTGAATATGAAACATGTCACAAGCTTTACAAACAGCAATACATCTTTACAATTCCAACATGCCATATCACAATAACAAACAAACATAAATGCAAACAACGTGCATCCAAATAAATACATAAAATACAAATTATTAACTCACAGTTTTTAAGGAAAGAAAAGTGCTGGCTTACAGATGGGACAGGAGAGATGTTTTGCATTTTAATCTTTTTTTTGTACAAAATTAAATTAAAATATGAAGTTCATGCTTAATTTTGTTATTTCCATGTTTTCATTATCCTACTTTCCTTTCTTAAGAAAAGAAAGTAGGCCTATGATCATCATGCTCTTTATGTGTCCCCTACAACTTTTTAACCAGTTGACCAGTTTTCACGGAACTTCGTGTGAACATCATGCTGTTTTTGGTCACCCCAACTTAAACTTCCTACAGTCACTAGTAATAACATGGTGATTGTGTAACACTAGTGGCACTTATTTTAGGGTCTTCGAATGATGTGTGGTAATAGATCTTTGAAAAATATTCAGCTTTGGAGGAGAGGGAATTTAAAATAACAACATGGTGGCCATATTAAAATTTTCTTTAGGTTTAAGTTTCATAGTAATAACCAGTGAATCACAAATAATAGCCATGCAAAATTTTGTATGAGGCTGGATAATAAAAATTGCAGACAATATCTCTGATAAACTATTTGTACATTGACAATTAAAGCATGGAAATGGTGTGAAAGTTTGAGGTTATGTGTGATAGATCTGACAATGTACAAGGTGGTTCAAA